CTCAGAAGATATTAAAAGACAAAACAAAAGGATCTGCAGCCGTAAGTGGAGAATTCTAGGAAAAATAGCACTAAAATTCTGGGAGGAAGTGGTTTGGGATTAGCCATGCTAGATGTGATCTGAAGATTAAAGCAATACTTTGCATCTGTTTTTGTAAGTGTGTTGATGCTGGAATAAAAGGAAGATAGTTTTGGGGAGCCAACAAGGAGAGGTGCAATGGAGACGCCATTGTGGAGACGCCAACAAGGAGAGGTGCAATGCTAGACCTTGTACTAACAAACAAAGAAGGTCTAGTTGGAGATGTGAAGGTTGGGGGCAGCCTTGGCTGCAGTGACCATGAGATGGTGGAGTTCAGGATCCTGCGAGGAGGGAGCAGGGCAATGAGTAGGATTGCAACGCTGGACTTCAGGAGACCTGACTTTGGCCTCGTCAGGGACCTACTTAGGGGAATCTCCTGGGGTAGGGCCCTAGAAGGAAGAGGGGTCCAAGAGAGCTGGTTAATATTCAAGCGTCACTTCCTCCAGGCTCAGGATCAGTGCATCCCTCTGAGGAAGAAGTCCAGCAAAGTGGGCAGGAGACCTGCATGGATGAGCAAGGAACTCCTGGCCAAACTCCAGCAGAAGAAGGAAGTGTACAGAATGTGGAAAAGGGGACAGGCCACTTGGGAGGAATACAGGGACGTTGTCAGAGCGTGCAGGGATGCGACAAGGAAGGCTAAGGCTCAGTTGGAATTAAATCTGGCAAGGGATGTCAAGGACAACAAGAAGGCCTTCTTCAAATACATCAATAGCAAAAGGAAGACTAGGGAAAACGTGGGCCCGCTGCTGAATGGGGCGGGTGCCCTGGTGACAAAGGATACAGAGAAGGCAGAGTTATTGAATGCCTTCTTTGCTTCCGTCTTCACTGCTAAGGCCAGTCCTGAGGAATTCCAGACCTTGGAGACAAGAGAGGAAGGCTGGAGAAAGGAAGACTCTCCCTTGGTGGAGGAGGATCAGGTTAGAGATCTTTTGTCCAAACTTGACATCCACAAATCCATGGGCCCCGATGGGATGCACCCACGAGTGCTGAATGTCATATTGTGGACATGAAAGAGATACTTGAATGAGGTTTGCGTGGGAGGCAGTTTATCAACTGTGGTAAATGGTGTTGTCCTCTAAGGGCTTCAGAGATTTCAAGGTGACTGGCTCGCTTGGTTCGTAACATTTTTGTATAAGATAGGCCCTTCAGTTAGACTGTGGCACCAGTTTTAGCTTTGTCATCTTTATCCTTAAAAACTCTACCTACCTTTTTTGCATAGATTAAAAAATATCATTTAGCTGTGCAGTGTTACAATCGTCTGCTGGCTGGGTAAACTACAAGTTTCTTAGGGCATTAAAATATGGAGGGGGGAAAAAACCTCCGATAAATCAAGACTCGTGGCAAATGCCTTTAACATTGGGTCACGTAATGAAAGATATGCCTCTGCTGACCTGATGCTGTAGTTAGGAGCACACCTTCTGCATTGGGTTGTGTGGCTTGAGAGAAGAGCTGAAGCAAGGTTGGCTGTCTTTTGCTCGTGTGATGTGTTGGAAGGAACTCAGGCTTGGGCTGAGAGGAAGAAAACTCCGTCTCCTGGACAAAAGTCTGGTACAAGAAAAGTATTAGCTTATATTTCTTTGCTTCCTTCTTCTGCCTTTCATTTTTTGACTCTACGTTCTTCTAGATTTATTTGTATATTGATTACTAAGATTTCAAAAATTTTATTTAGTGTCTTGTTAACTCACAATGTAAGGTCCAATAAAGACTGGAGTCCCGGTTCCACTAAAGCTTACACACATGCTCAGCACTTAATGAACTCATGCTTAACTTGAACCAGGTAACTTGCTCCCCAGATTGGATCTGAAGATTTGCAAGAAAGGACATGTCTGAACTCTTTCCAAGTTTATGATGAGGGCTGATGGCAAGTTACGGACTGACGGAGCTTAGCAGCAGAAAACTTTTAGGTCTCAGTTAAAGACGTGATTCTTGCTTTTTCCACACACACAAACTTCTGGGTCCCCGTTGGTGTCTGTTTTGCAAGCTGAACAGGTGCAAACGCTGCATGTAGGTCCAAAGAGTGAAGGAGGCCTACACATTGTGCGTCACTAACCCTCCACTTATATTCCTCAGGTTCCTTTGATGTTGCAGCCAGGTAGGAGTCATAAAGAAATTATTTGTTAATTTTTTTTTACCTTCGTTATTTGGAACAGTGAGCAGATCTCTCTGCAGTTACGTATTCTTAAATACCAAGTGATGATCTTTAAAGTGAGATACATGCAATCTGTGGCGCTTAGATGATCTGTTTTTGTCCCTTCCAACCTAAACGATTCTGTGATTCTGTGATTCTGTGAGCAAGGAAGTTACCCTGTCTGAGGTGGAGGGAAAGGTCAGCTTTCTCTCTGTGTTGGATGGAAAGGTAGTTTCTACCTTAGAGTTTTGATAATGCTAGCAGATGAAATTTCAGGTATGGCATTAAGTGATTCTACTAAATATATTGCAAATACTCAGATCTGAGTAGAGAGTACATTTTCTCATCATCCATATGTAAGCACGAATAGCGGTCTGAGCAGCTGCTGATCTGTTATCTTAGTCATACTGACATTCAGATCTTTAGAATGACTTTTGAAGGAAGGAGGGAGTAGTAGAGGGAGTTAAAAATTAGGGAAAAAAAATCAGCACAAATTTGCCAAAGGGTAGGTACCATCAGATTAATCTGGTAACTTTTTTTGGTAATTGAATTTTTTAGATTCAAGAAATGCCAGAGATGTAACCTGAGAAAAAATAAAGCTGTTGATACCATCCCAGAAGGGATGTTTTCAGTTGAGCTGGAAGCTGGAAGGTGACTTAAGACATTGCCTAATGAGAGACTGACAACATTCAGTGATGGAAGGAGAGATGAAGGAGGGGTGTTACTGTCAATTCTGTAAAGCAAAATCCTGGCATAGAAACTAGAGAAGTTTACTGAAGATAGAAAATTGGAAGAAACTGTCAACGTGGAGGACATTTTTGTCTTGTGTAGGTGACCGTGAGGAATGGAGTTACAGTAGTCAAATAAAATTCGCAAAGATATGGAGTAGAAGGCCATGGATTCAAAGTTAACTGCAAGACTGTCCTGTATAAGCTAAGTGCTCGCTGGTTGCAAAAAATGAAAAGGTTACAATCCTGTCTTTAGTGATCGTTTCAGGATGACAAGGCCATCAATGACATGTGGCCATGAAAAAGCAATTTCAGTACTAACATGTTTCAGGTGCTGTACTCTGGTGAAGACCAAGATCCAAAAAACTAATCATGGAAAAGGACCTGAGGAGGCTATTGAATCTTTCCATCTACACTGAGTCATGATAAATTGTAGTTTAAAGTCTTCCTGACAGATGGTGTATAACCTGCTCTTTAAATCCGCCCTCAACCTCCCATGCCAGTCCATGTTGATATTTTATTGTCCTTAACAATAAAAAGTTATTCTCTGTGTCTAATTGAAATAGTCTCTGTGAGAGAGGAAACCCATCAATACCTAGACATTGAAGATTGACTGACTGACTGACTCTTCCTTTCCTTGTTGCTCTTTTATGTATGTGAGGACTAAAAAATGTCTCAGTCACACTTCTTTGGCTAAACGATCTGAGTTTTCAGTGTTTCTTAGGTCGTGTTTTCTAGACTTCTTATGCGTTTTCTCTGCATTCTCTGCCTGACAATTGTTGGGGAAGAAGATGGTGAAATTCCATCTTTAATATTGCATGTAGTACTAACAGTCAAGAAAGTTGAATTAGAACTCGAAGCAGTAGTAGTTGGAGAGCTGCAGGAATTGAGAGTTTATATTAGAAGCAGAGTCCAGAAAGGATTTTAAAAATGAGAGCTGAGAGAAGATAAGATGCTTCTTGAAGTTTATCATTGGCAGGACTGCTTAGTGTAAGGGATAATGTCGGCCATAGCAGTGAATTTGTCTCAGTGTCTCAGGAATCCCTTTCAGTCCTTTATTTTTTGTGAACAAAGGAACGTAGAATGAGGGGCCACTAAAAGCAGAATTGTCAAATCTTACTTCTGACATCTTTAGCAGTCCATTTTTCATGTCAGAATTTTTAAAGGATTTCATACTTTTAATGTGAACGTGTTATCACCAGTGTCTAAGCATTTAGGAAAAATAGTCTGTGTGAGAAGATGGCTGGAGAGGTTTTTGCTAGTTGAGTAGTGAGAGAAATTGACCTTTAGCATAATTTATAATAAGGTACACTCAATTATGTATGATTGTGTTAAGTATCACAGGATGAATAATTGAGTAGACAAAGTGATACATTGGCAAAAGTGCGTAGGTAGGTAAAGTCGCATTGAATTTTGTTATAATAGTACTGGGGTGCAAATTTACCCTTGACTGGCATACAGTTTGCTTACTGACAAAATTGAAAACAGAAGAAGATAAACTGAGTTAAGATTAGAAATAAGAGGGTGGGTTGAACTGTTTATATCTGTATGTGATAGTACAGGGGTCTTTTTTTGGAGGAAATGCAAATCATAAGGCAATGGAATATCTGATTTCCGCTGTGCCATATGTCAGCAAGTTCAAGTGAGTTCCCTCTGGTAGCATTGCGGGTGACTGAAGAAGGAAGTTTCAACAAGTAGGAAAGTTATCTCAGTAGATCATGATATTTGAATCTAACAGAAGCCCAGTCAGCTGCTGCCTGGTAGAAGAGGGAAGATGAGAATCCCAGAATTAGTTTCCTCTGGTTTACTCATGTGAAGGACACGCAAACCCTGAGGCCTCTTGTTGTCCCTGGAGCATGTATGTGTCAGTTATGTATGCAGGGGCATAAGTTTGAAACTTAGTCTAACAAGCAAAGATATCTTTGCATTCTTTAAAGGAAAAGTCTGAGGGACCAATTTGAAAATAAGCAATAGATGTCTTATTAGACGTTCAGGTTCCTCTAGTCTGATCTTTGATTCTGAAAAATTGGAATTCTAGGGAATAAAATACTTCTTTCTTCTCACCTTCCCCTTCCCCCCCCCCCCCCCAATTGTAGTGTTCTTTTGAGTGCTGTAAGTGGGGAAGACACTCAGGATCGTACTGACCGACTGCTTTTGACACCCTGGGTTAAATTTCTATGGGAATCATATAGACAGTGTTTGGATCTTCTCCGAAATAATTCTAGAGTGGAACGTCTGTACCATGATATTGCACAGCAAGGTAAGTTGAAAAGATGGAAACAAAAGTATGATGAGATTTAGGACTTCAATGTTACATGTTGTAAAACTACAAGTTATTTTTCTTTATGTATCGCCTCTGAGTTGAAAATATGTTGATTTCTTAAACATATGTATGTACGCACGCGATATGCTTAAAATCACAAAGGTTCCTTAAAATTAGTAACAAAACATTCAAGCAAAAGTTATTTTTTCCTGGCTATGCTGGCACTTTGAATTAGTAGTGCTATGTCTTTATTTTCTCTAACTTAACTCTTGATCAAAATTAGTCTCGTTTTCACTTTGTAACCTGGAATGGCAAATGTGCTTTCCATTGATATATGCTCTATCTACTCACTTCAATAACTAGCATACATAACAGGGTACTTTAAAATTACCATGAGCTGTACGTTTTGACACAGAAATAACTTAGCAAACTGTTATTTAGAAAGTGATAGGAAATAATCTAGTCTGATTCTACCTGGCATTATTCTGCAAATATTGAATTTACAAGCATGGGAACTTCTCTGTTGTTCAGATTTTTTTTTCTTGAGGATAAGAGACAAGTGGAAAAAAATTTTCCTTTATGTACATAACTTAGGGCTCTGTATTTTTGAAAAAGAGGCTGTTAGATTTTTTTAACTGGACTCAAATTGTGCAAGTACATTCGGAAAGGTGACAGTCGGCTGAGTTCTAGGTGCCTTATTATATTTAAGTCTCTGTGATACAGTGTCAAAAGTTTCTCTTTTACCACTTACTGATAGAGAAACTTTAGAATTTATAGAGTGGCAGTTGCCCAGTGAAAGCAGATTTTTGAGAGAGAGAATTTGGGATCAGAGACGTTTTTTTAAATGTGTCATCTCCATTCTTTTGAAATCTTCATTTAGCTTACCGTGTTTAAATGACTTCAGGTTTTTGTTCCCCTGCCTTTTACAGAGCCAAAGCCCAAATTCCTGCCAGCCACAGAATTTTATTTGCACTGAGTTCAAAATAAAAGCAAGAAACCCTGCTTAAATTGGAAAATTTTAAAGAGATGCAAAGTATCTGTGCCTTGGGCTTATTTATGTAGAAGCATCTCAGTTTTTTGAGGTCAGGAGGGTAGGGCTCTGCATTGTCACTTATACATGAAAGTTAGATTATGTCTTTTTTTTATATGTCTTTGAACTATGAATTAAGGTTCTTCAAGCATGTTAATTTTTATATTTGAATGCCATTTAGGATTGCAGTGAAATCACCATTGGTTAACATTCCTAATTTATATCATTCATTTTTGCAGCTTTTAAGTTCTGCCTTCAGTACACACGAAAGGCTGAGTTCCGCAAACTCTGTGATAACCTGAGAATGCATTTGGGTCAGATCCAGCGTCATCATAACCAAAGCACAGCAATCAACCTCAACAATCCTGATAGTCAGTCAATGCACTTGGAGACCAGGCTTGTGCAGCTTGACAGCGCTATTAGCATGGAACTGTGGCAGGTATGCAGCAGGGCTCCCGTAATCGCACTGAAATCTTCAGCTTCTCCAGAATCTGTTCCATTCAGGTCATGTTTCATGATACGTACTCCATGACAGAGACAGAATAATAGCTGAAGAATAAAGTTTAGGTACCTAGTCTTGTGATATGACATGCATGTTGAATATTTAAAGTCTGGTGTTCCTGGAATTGCTTTTTTCACATAGCATTTCAAAGGAAGCTTCTGCTGGTTGTAGTTAATAGTGAAGTGGTTGAAGTCTGTTCAAACTGTGAAAGTTGATTATGATGTCTTTTCCTCTGATGTTTTGCATTCCCATCAACTACCTCACTGGGAAGTAGCTGGTGAACACTAAAGTCTGTTAGGCTGGGGCCCCAGCACTGCTGGTTGAAGTGTGCTAGTGTCTCCCCAGTGAGAGCACCATCAAAGGAGACGTTTCCAATAGGTGCTTTTCTTCTGGAACCTTTTTAATGTCGAATTAGTTAACAACCCAAAGACGTGATTTTTTGTTTTTGTAAATCTGGAGAACTTTCTCTGTTGCATTATTTCCTTTTTACCCATGTAAGTAATTACATGTGAGGCATTTCTAAGATGATTATGTATATTTTTAGGGAAACTATACCCAGTTTTGGTTACAAGCATGCTTTACATGGAAAATGGTGAAAAGAGCAAATAGCAGAGTTAGTCTGAAAATTTCTGATATTCTGAGGGTTTTCTTGATTTTTAGCTTAAAAATCTGAGAGAGATCAATTTTCAGAAAATTATCCAAATTAAATAATCTTTAACAAATTGAAGCAGGTGGAGTTAATGGATTTACAGTATACGCAAATAATTTCTTTATTAAGAAAGCAATATTTGATTTCATGTAGCTGGCAAAGCTGAAGATCACAACTTTCAGAGGCAATTATGTATTATAGTCTTATAAAAGCCTTCAGTGAATGTGTTTTTTTCACTTTCTTGGCAGTTGCAAATAACTTCCTTGAAGTAGTGTACTTGTTTCTTTCTTTAGGAAGCTTTCAAAGCAGTGGAGGATATTCATGGGCTATTCGCACTGTCAAAGAAACCACCCAAGCCACAGCTGATGGCAAATTATTATCACAAAGTTTCAACTGTTTTCTGGAAATCAGGAAATGCTCTTTTTCATGCATCTACCCTTCACCGACTTTATCACTTATCAAGAGAAATGCGGAAGAATCTCACACCAGAGGAGATGCAGAGGTGGGGAAAGATGTTTAATGTGATCACAGATTCTATTTTTAACCTCTTAAGTTCAAAAATAAATTAAATTGTACCCCAGAAGAAGTAGATGGCATACGTTTGAGTGTGAGCAGCTTTGCTTAAAATGGCCAGTACTGATTGTCCCCAAAAGGAATGTAGAGCAAGAAGGATATTTTACAAAGCTACAGTGTAAGTAAAGTAAACATCAGGATCACCTGAGTTCAACTTTCTTTTCTGTCACTTTCTGGGAAGCTAAGCAAATTAATAAGTGTCTGTGTTTTGTTTCCTTTGCAGTATGGCTTGTATAAACTTTTCCTGAAAGCTAACATATATAGGAATGTGCAAGTTCTTAAGACAAATGGACTTCTGTTTTTTTGGTGATGAGTGTGATATTGGCAAGGCTTTTCAGGCGCACAGGATCATTGACTGCATTAATCTCTGAAGTTCATTTACAGGCCTTTATAGTCAGAATCTGGTGGGAGTAAATATTCTGTGGAACAACTTCAATTGCTGTTCATCTCTGTACTAGCATGACATGCTAGTATTAAATATTTAATGTCATTTGCACCGTAACATCAGAAAATACATCTGACTTTTTCAGTAACGTTTAAAAATTGATGCGAATCCATAAAAATCATTTTGATTGCAGTTAAAGGTCTGAAAAGTCTCTGCTTTCTATTGTTTTAATTATTTCATAATACCTTGATATATACAGAGGTGGCTTAGATTTCTTGCTCGTCATATATATGTGAAGAGTTACTTATCTCTTAAGAGAGAGATAAGAGTTAAGAGTTAGCTAAAAGTATAAGTACACATAAGCTTGTATACTTTTGCGTACAAGCATAAGTAATAAAAACATGTTATCAAAGTCTTTTCTCTTGAGTACGGAAGAACTGCGTGCTGTACTCGTACTGCACAGTGGCCATCTTTTCTATTATTATTGGTATTTTTACACAATTTTTCAGCGTCAATGCTACTTATTCCCTGTTCTTTTTCATATACACGTCAATTCAAGAAGTAATTACTGTTCTCTTGCATTTCATCTTTTGTGGTTATACTTTGTCAACAGGATGTCCACTCGAGTCCTTTTGGCCACTCTGTCGATTCCTATAACTCCTGAACGAACTGATATTGCTCGCCTTCTGGATATGGATGGCATCATTGTTGAAAAACAGCGACGTCTGGCAACCCTGTTGGGTCTCCAGGCCCCACCTACACGTGGCAGTCTTATTAATGATATGGTAGGTAGTGATGCTTGGGTGAGAAGCTTTTGAACAGAGTCTGTTTTCCTTCTAAAAGCACTGCACTTAAGTATGAGGCAACGGTTTCAAAATAAAACAGCTTTAGGATTAATTATATGATTTACAGTATAGTGTTAAAGTTTCAGATCCACGAGAAGGACTTTTGGATAAGACCAGCAATAAGGGGAGGCCCTAATCTTTGTGTTAAGTAAAGGTTAACATTCTGTCACATTGTCCAAAAAACAGATGTCTTGTTTTGAAACTTTTAGAGGGGCTCTGTAAGAAGTTTTGAGCTAGAACTTTGTTTTTTCCTACGCTAAGGGAAGGTGTAATTAATTGAACACAAGTTTTTTCTTTTTTTTTCCCCCCCCTGTTTTAAATATCTTTTGGATAAGAATATATAAATAAATGCTGGATGTAGCTGTCTTCAGACCCTTCCAGGTGCATGCATGCCTAAAACTTATATTTGCAGTTCATTTTATAGTTTGTGTTAATTGGCCTCCTGGCAGTTCTCCAATTTGTCTTAAAAATAGTTCAAAACTTCAGAAATTTACTCATGAACTGAGATATTTGTTTTAATTCAGATGTAGGCCTATGTATATGGATAGTAGGACCTTAGGTCTTCATTTGTGTTTTAGAAATGTATAATAAGCTGAGGCTGGTATGCTAGTCTAAATACGTTCTTGTTTGTATTTTCCATCTACTTTTCCATTTGTAAATGGAAACAGTTGAATAGTGTAGTGTAGTTCTTGTCAGTGTAATTAAGAATGTTTTGTATTTTAACAAAAAAGTGTCTTGTATCAAAAGGTACGTATGGTGCCTCTTTACCTTCTTGTATATAAAATTTTTAAAGCATAGTTATTTGTTAACGTTGTATTTATTTTGAGCTCTTTGGTTTTTTGTTGACTGTAGGTAAGGTTCAACGTAGTGCAGTACGTTGTTCCAGAAGTGAAAGAACTTTACAATTGGCTCGAAGTAGACTTTCACCCACTGAAGTTATGTAGTCGTGTCAGCAAGGTAAGTTTTGTAACTCTGCATATATAATCATTGGTCTGGACTACTAGTGTTCTGTTTGAATATTGATTGGTGGTAAATACCAGCTAGTTTTTCTTTCTTTCTTTTTTTTTTTTTCCTTTCACCCCTGGCCCGCCTCCTCTTTTCATCATGTTCCTTTACAAGTACACATACGTAGCACATGATACAGAGAGCACACTAGATTATTAAAATGAAATAAAAGTTTATCTAGGTCTCTGAGGTACTTTGCAGAGGGCCTCCTTAAAGATCCAGAGTTTTGGAAACTTCTGAGAAGTTATTGTGAGTGGAAATAATCACGAGCTGAATTTTTGTTTAATGATGTAGGAACGGGAAAACTTTTTTGTTGGCGAATAAGTTGTGTGGGAAATGGAAAAATTGACCATAGTCTAATTTTACTATTTAAATGTAGAGTCTTGGAGGTAAAATAACTTGATCTTATTGATTAGGTTAATGTATATTCTGCAATTGATCGACTGCATCATACTCTTTTCCTTTGATTGTGGGAACAAATACATTTGGGGGGGCTAAGAAAAACTTGAAGATAATTAGCAGTGTGGTTAATTGCCAGTGCTGTCAGTCACCTTCATACAAAAAACGTTAGCTATCCGTTATAAATAAAAGTAATTCCGATCAAAAGATTTACCTCAGTAAAATAACCTAGCATCTGGATAGAAGTGCTGTTGTTTCATAAGGTGTAAAACAGAAGTATGGAAGAACCATGCTTCTTGCTTAAAGATTGAAGTTTTCTAGGATTGATGCAAACAGAGTAACTTTTACGAATTGTGATAGGTTCTGAACTGGGTGAAGGATCAAGCTGAAAAGGAGCCTGAACTGCAACTGTATGTTCCTCACCTGCAAAACAATACCATTCTTCGACTTCTGCAGCAGGTATGAATAAGGAAGATGTACGGTCATAAGTATGTATAAGTTAGAAAATGCTTAGGAAAAATTCTAAGCTGGGAACTTTGATGTTGAAGTGAATTATTCCATCAAATAGAAGACCATTACGACTTTGAAATGCTTTTTCCAATGTGTATCTTCCAGCCTTAGATTTCTACGTCATGTAGGTACAGCCATAGTAACTGCACTTAATAGTGGTTGCATACAGTAGTACATTCTTTTGCTTAGGTTTCTTTCATTGTGACTCTGTGAAGTCTTGTTTAAGGTAATTCATTGATTCTTAAGACTTTCATGTGGAGTAAGTTTTGGGTGGGATTTTTTTCTGAGTTTTTTTTTCTTTGGTTAACTGTCTTGCAAAATGCACATTTCATTGACCTGCTTTCCTTACAAGTGATGAGCAGTGTTATTTCTGATGTGCTAAAGAAAGAGTTGAAGGCTAATTAGCAGCATAGCTGCACGTAGTTACTGCTGCCAGTCTCCTTCATACAAAGAACAATTATTCCATTCAGGAATAATATTTAATCTTACTAAGTTAGAATACAATACAGAAATAAAATGCTGAAGGACTATCTGTAACTTCACTGATATGCATGCTTTCATCTATTGACAGTTTAGCAAGTTAGCTTTATAGTGCCTTTAACAACTTCTATTTCTGATGGCTTTCTAATGAGTGGAAAAGTACCTAATACTCCTTTTCCCATACAGGTGGCTCAGATTTATCAAAGTATTGAATTTTCTCGTCTGGCTAACCTGGTTCCTTTTGTTGATGCCTTCCAGTTGGAACGTGCTATTGTAGATGCAGCCAGACATTGTGACTTACAAGTAAGCGTTTGAAAAAGACTTCTGTGAAATGGTGTGTGGATTTTGTTACATTGGAAGAAAACTTAACAGGTTCAACATTGAACCCAGGGAAGATTTCTGATCCTGAAGGAGGAGGAGATAAAGTAGAATAAAAAGATGCAAATGACAATGCGTATAATTAACTCCCAGTTCTTAAATCTGGTGTAGTTTTCTGATTTACACAGAATCGCAGAAGCACATAATATCACATAATATAAGTGCAATATGAATATAAGCAAAGCGATTGCATATTAATTGTTGCACTGCACTTATGTAAGGGTAGTATAAATACAGAGTAGTAGTTGAAATGACCTGTGAGCTCCAGTCATTTAGTCCAGAAAGTCCTGAAGCAAGTCTAACAAACAGGAATGGTTGAATGTGAATGTCTGACTATACAGAATTAGTTGCCAAGACCAAAGGGCTAGCAGTCCTGGCTGTTGTTTTTGTCTAACCAAATCACTGAAATAAAGCACCAGTGACGTGAGACTTTCCAGCTGCTATTGAAGATATCATTATGGCTAAAGCGGTCCACATCTAATGAGCGGTAGGTAACCTGTAATGAAACGTTTAAGGTATTGATGAGATACAAATAACTTTTACTTCACGTTGCTTAATAATTATCCATTTACTTTTTGGATAAAGCTGAATTAATTCATTTAGGTTAACACAGTTTCAGCTGATATTTTAGACCTGTGGAAATTGACAGCATTAGGGGCAGGATTCTTGTTCCATGTATTGCTAATGTGGAGGAAGAGGCAAGAAGGATTCATCCTGCAGTGTTCATTTCATCAAATTATTGAAAGCTCAGCTTTTTCCAGTGAGATATATATTTCTTTTTATAAATCTTTTTCTGTGGCAATTAAACACGGTTTATTCACAGTGCTATTTTTCTTCTGTTAATTTGTCACCTCTACTAGTCTGGTATAGTTAAGAACTGTCTTTGGACGTAATTTCCTGCTTAGAGCTGGTGTACACACTCTAATTGCACTGCTTTTAGCTTGTTTTAAAACTGAGTTGGGGTTAAACTGGTAAAACTCCTAGACAGATGTACTTTCATAACTGAGAACTGACTTCTGGTTTCAAGCAATTACAAAAACCACCCTCAAAAGAACACTTTTTTGACGCAGTGATTAGAAGAATTATGTATGCTAATCTTGCATACAAGAGAAGGAAGGAGTGAATTTTGTTTTGTCTTACTGCTTGGTAAGCACTTACAAATGGGGAGAAGTTGAGAGCTCTCCAGTTGGTTGATATTGGTCGTTGGCAGAGCAAAAGAGAAAGTATTTAAAAGTAATAGCTTAAAATATAATCATTTTTTCCCTTTTCATTTTGCAAAGGTTCGCCTTGATCATACTTCTCGAACACTGAGTTTTGGTTCAGATTTGAATTACAGCACTAGAGAAGATGCTCCACTAGGCCCTCAACTACAAAGCATGCCTTCTGAGCAAATTAGAAATCAGTTGACTGCTATGTCCTCAGCTCTGGCTAAGGCTCTTGCAGTCATTAAACCTCCTCACTTACTGGTAAGTAGTTTTTTAAGTTTTCTGAAATTATTGACAAATTCTGACATTCCCCAGGGGAAAGTATGCTGTATGATGTATATTTGTTGCCTTATAGTCTTTTGTTGGCTTCTGCTTATCCGATCAACTGTTCTTTCCTCTAATCTGCTTTCAGTGCAATGGAAGCCAGTATTGCTACTGTTGTCTACTCCCTTCAGAAGAAATAATTGATTGTTGAGGTGTTCATATATAGAAATGAAGTGTAGCATCAATGTATTTATTAATGACAGAGCATTCTTCTGCGTTTGTTACGTACTCAACTCTTGTAATAGATCTAGATTTTCTAGATTAACAAGATGAACGTGTCTTGAAGTTGTGAGATCATACTTGAATATTACACTAAAGTTGCTTCGTTTAGCTTTCCTTGACATAGAAAAGACATTGAGCTACCTAATGGTTAATATAATAAGGCATTAAAAAGGTAGAGGTTGGTGCTTGTTTACATTTGTTCGTTTTATGAAGTATATTGCTCCTTTTTTTCCTTTTTTATGGTAACTGTCTCTGATATAATTTGGCAGCAGTGATGGGCTGCATTTATATATTTTTGGGTTAGGTACAAACCTAAAGTAGAACTTGATAATATATAGCAAATTGTTTTTAAGGAATGCTTTTTCTCAGATTAGATGCATCTTTTCATGTTATTTTTTTCTACCTGGCGGTAGTTAGCTATTTGTGCTTGTGAAGAGGACCAAAACGTTAGTGAATGCACCCAGCTAGTTAGTGTCTGGTCATAATAAAACCCTCTCGGGCATGAGAGGCCTGAATTGAAATTTCCAGTCTTGCATATGTCAAATTTGGGTTATACCAAATAATAGCTTTCCATTAAAGGGTTTACAAAGGTAGCATTCATTTAAAATTTTGTATGCATTTGTGAAAATGCAAGAGTCTGCTTTCTCTGTTCTCTCTGGAGAAACTGTTGTTTTAAAGCACTGGAATGTAACTTCAGAGTGGAATCTAAAAATATGAATGAAAGCTCCCACAACTGAAGAATTGACCTGTCCGTTTCTCTTGCTGGGGCCGTTGGCTTCAAGACTGGATTCATCCATGAGCTCACATTTCAGGCTCTGCAGAGCCCCATAGGAGCAAGGTATAAATCAGTCTGGGATTTCCGACATGCTTTGGTTGTGGCGAGTTAACCTTCGCTTCTCTTAAAAGAGCAGCGGTAATTTTTCCATAAGGAAAAATTATTTGAGATAAATATAAATTTGCTCTAAAATCTTTTTTTCAAGAAAAACAAAAAAAGAAAAAAAAAGGCTTCTAGCAATGTGCCCATGTTAGATATTTTATCTTGTTTGAAATGTTAAGTGATGTTCATAAAACAAACACAAGTAGCAGCACTGTATGTGACACCTAACGGTAGGTTACTTATGTTAACTGAACTAGTTCTGTAGTGCTTAAGCTCAAAATATTCCATGCCGGTTTTCCCCCCACAAGTTTTATTATTGATTGACATTAGACATCGTTGGCTTAAAAGAAAAAACACTTCTTGCCTGTACGTTTGTAGGTAGAATTGTTATTTAGTCTTGTTTGACATAGAGGTGCAATTAGCTGAAGAAGACATATAACCACTAGTATAGCTATGCCTGTTAAATTGGAGTAGATCCTGTGTACATGCAAGTTTATTGTTGGTCTGTGTGTGCTTAAAGAAGCCGTAAACCAGGCTGATACCTTCTTTTTTTTCCTTCTCTATTCACGTCAAAACTTTTCAGGTGCTTTAAAAGTTCTAAATTTGTGTCAAAATTGTTATAATTTATAAAGTTGTTAAAATTTTCTTAGCTTTTTGTTTTTGTGTTTTTGGCATTCTTGCAGCTTCACTTACCTCAAGGGCTTGCGGATCTGCAGCAAAGTGTGGATGTTCCAGTGTTTTTGTTTAATGTCCTAGAAGTGGCAGATTACTAAAAATACCTCTGAGCTAGCTCAAATTTCAAGAGCAGCACAGTGAATTGACTGGACTGTAATACTTTGCTGTTTACTGGAGTTGATTAAAATGGGCAGCTCGCTGAGCTGGCATAATTGCACCTTTTCAGGTGTAGAACATGAGTCTCCCTACAAAGGGCTGCGTAGGTGTTCTGGAGGAGAATGTTGGTAAGGGGTGGTGAGACGGATGCTTGAGGAATATTCTATATGCAAGCTAATACTTACAAATTAAATGATTTTATATGTAGTGTTCATACCTAAACGGTAGAATCAGTGCTGTTGATATCTCACAGATAGTGCTTTTGTGTCAGTTAGGTTATTTTCCTCTTCTGTTAGTGTGCTACGAAAACAAACAAAAAACCCAACCAAAAAAGGGGGCTCTGGTGAAATACGACGCTGGTAGTGCTATGCTTGCCAAAACATGCAGAGGCAAACAACGTAAGCATTGTCTTCTCCCTCCTTCGCTAATGCAGTCCTAAATATCACAGACATATGCATATGCACTATTTTTGGACAGAGTGTGAAACGATCGTGCCTAAGACAGATATGTTGCAGGACGTTGTCTGATGCAGGCAACTTTCAGCTCCATGTACGTGTGGTTCAGTTGAGTTGCCTGCTCTGCATGCCACTGGAACGAGTGATTAGATTTGCAATTACAGTTGCATTTTCATGCAGTTGCCAAGTTTGGGGAATGAAAATAACTGAGTTTTCTTTGAGAATTATTTGCTATGCTTTGTGCCTTTTTAAAGAGATGCCATATATATCATTGTCTTATCCTTAATATCAATTCAGCAAGAGAAGGAAGAACAGCACCAGCTGGCAGTCACTGCCTTCTTAAAAAATTCAAGGAAGGAGCATCAGCGTATTCTTGCACGTCGTCAAACTATAGAGGAAAGAAAAGAGCGCCTTGAAAGTTTAAACATTCAGCGTGAAAAAGAAGAACTGGAACAACGTGAAGCGGAATTACAAAAAGTCCGGAAAGCTGAAGAAGAGAGACTGCGCCAGGAAGCAAAGGAAAGGGAGAAGGAGCGTATCCTGCAAGAGCATGAACAAATCAAAAAGAAGACAGTTCGTGAGCGCTTGGAGCAGATTAAGAAGACTGAACTGGGAGCCAAAGCATTTAAAGATATTGATATTGAGGTACCTAACTTATTTATGAAGTACTGAATTTTTTTTTTTTAATGTTTGTGTTGTTACACTGCTAGGCTACCTGAATTTGATGTTCTCTACTAGTTTTAACTGGTAGCTGGTAACTGGTTCTATAAACAGTCTCTATCAAAAATGAGACTGCCAGTTTGACATTTAAATATTTAATTTGCTCAACAGTATGAATAAACTTTGAGACCGAGTTTGGATAGGACCTATTTTGCCTGGAGAAATGAAGTTACAACTGTTTTGAGAAGAGGCTCACAGATGTGGATTTCTTTCCTTATTTGCTTATACAGTCTTTAAAATATGAAATAGACACGCAGATTCAGTTTGTGGTATCTGGATTGTGTCTCAATTAAAAGTCAAGATATAAATCCTTTTGAGAGCTTTAAAAATAAAATACAAATTACCCAAAGGAGAGTAAAAGAAACTGAAAATGTTTCTGAAGCAAATCGGTTTACAAATTGAGAACTGCAGAGAAGCTTAAATGAATAGCGGAAACAGCAACTGTGACAAAATGTTTGCTTTGTTTTGCATCGATAACTTCACTTGGCTGTAGGATCTTGAAGAGTTGGATCCTGACTTCATTATGGCTAAACAAGTTGAACAACTGGAGAAAGAGAAGAAGGAACTCCAGGAACGCCTGAAGAATCAGGAGAAAAAGGTACAAAGTAGTAAGAATACAAAAACATGTCTACAAAAAACTTCACAGTTAATGATTGTGAATGGTTGTATATATTATGTTGGTGTTGAAAGTGCTATCGATTTGGTTTGTGCTTGTAAATGTAAAAAGAGGCATACATGTTTAACAAGCCAACAGAATTACTAGCATCAGTGCACAAATCTATTCTAATTAACGTAGCTGGTTTGAGACTAGACCCTTAAGCGGTATGTGAACTGGGTCTTAGTTGGGAAGACTTGTTTTCGGAGAGTGTTCGGAGAAGGTGAAATGTTCGGAGAAAGTAAGGCTGTTACAGAAAAGCTAAATTAATTAATTACATTAGTCTTCCTGAAACAGAGGAACTTTCTTTGCTAGGACTCTTCTTGGTGGCAAAAGATCTATCTGAAACTTGGGTGACCATAAAGGTACAAAGAACAGATTGCCAGGGTAAATAGGAATATATGACCAGGACAAGGTGATACTCACCCAGGACTTCCAAGTGTTCTCAAAAATGAAACGGAGATTATATGATACCATTGGTAATTCAGCTCACTTAAGCTGATTTGATACTAAAAGGTGACAAATGTGAGGCCAATTACTTAAAAAGGTTCCAGTGAAGATCTGTGGTGCTGCAGTCCTGTAAGTCTGGTGCTCATACTGGACAAACTCAGAAAATACAGTAAAGAATAGAGTTAATAGCCACCTGGGTAAATATGAGCTACTTGGGACAGTCAGCACAGCTTCTGTGAAAGGAATGTAAGGCGGGACTTCCTCTTGGAGTTCCTCGAGCTGTCAAAACAAATACACGAGCAAGAGGGATCTGATTGGTGTAATTAACTTGTATGTTACAAAAAGCTTTTTACAAAGTTCTTAAGAAAACTTAGAAGCCATGGGGTAAAAAGAAAAGTCTTTGCATGATGATCGGTTTAGACAGATGTAAAGTATTTTATGTAGGAAAAGTGGGGGAAAAGATACCCTGATCTTTAGCTTTAAGTATAAAATAATGGGGGTCCAAACTTAACCTTATCAGTTATCAATGAGATCTTGGTTCTTCTGCATGGTAAGCATTGTGTGCAGGTCTAGTCTCTTTATCTCAAAAAAGAGCAGTTGAAGTGGAAGGTTGAGAGAAGGCTAACAAGAATTATCAATGATATGTATTGGCTTCTATGTGAGAAATATCTAAGTAAGTTAGTACTCCTGGGTCTGGAAGTGACTGTTATAGATTTTGGAGAACAAGGATATGCTAAGACTGTACCTGGCATAGCAGCTGAGGACTGGGAGCGGTAGTTCTTTTGCTGACTGCAAGGGATAATGAACTAGGAGACATCAAATGAAGCAAGCAGAAGCCAAGTTCAGTACAAATAAGAAGATAGGTCTTCATGCAGTGGGCTGTAGAATTTCTTGCCAGATATGTTTTGTATTTGAAATGCTTTTCTGAGTTCTAGGAAGCAAGAAAAAGGCATTCATTGGTGCTTTCTAAATATACATAAACTCCATCTTGCTCAGGAAATCCCTGGAGCTAAAAATTGATGCTGAGAGAGTATTGAGGGGAGTATCATATATGTGCTTGCTCTAGCCTTACATATTCTCCTAGGAATGTGCTTATTTGCCGATGCTTAGCCTTATGGCTAACCTTATGTAACAATGTATTAGATATCTCAGAAAAGTCTCCAAATACCAAGGTTTCCTTGGATTGAGGACTGAGTGTTCTTTGTATGTGACATGCTAACGTTATGTTATCTTTATGTAGATTGACTATTTTGAAAGAGCGAAGCGCTTAGAAGAAATTCCCTTAATAAAGACTGCCTATGAGGAGCAAAGAGTGCATGATATGGAGTTGTGGGAGCAACAAGAAGAAGAAAGGGTAAGAATTTTTAACTGAGGTGGTAAAATCTGTTAGTAAGAACGAAGAAAAAAAAAAAAGTGGTTTTGCTCTGTATATAATTCTGTCTTCCAGATCAGTCCAGAGGAGGAGGAAGGAAAAAGTTGGTATGAAGAAGAAAGTGTTAGTTTTGTGATTTTATTGTGCTAGCGGATAGCAATGTCTTTCTGGCTTGGTTCTGAAAAAGGGAAAAATAATTTGTCTTCTAGTAGCAGCTGAGGTGGATTGAATGCGAATATATAGTAAGGTTTTATTTTGTAATACTTTTATGTTATTTATTTTTAGATCACTACTTTGCAGTTGGAGCGTGAGAAAGCCCTTGAGCATAAGAACAGACTATCAAGGATGTTGGAGGATAGAGATTTATTTGAAGCCAGGCTCAAAGCTTCACGACGAACAGTTTATGAGGTACATAAGATCTGGTCTTGTAATCAAACTCTTTCTCTAAAGTGAGGAACTCAACTTGTGACCCTGTGATTCTTCATGAAAATTGCAAAAAAAAATTATAATCTACAGTGTCTCATAATTCTGAGATTGTTTACTTCCTGCTTGGACTGAAAAAAAAGTCTTCTGGCATCCCTTCCTAGATTTTATCATTTACTGCTTTTTATGTCAAGTTCTGAAATAGGTTATATGGAAAATAATTGTCTAAAAGGTAGCAAATTATTTATTTTAATGCAGGTCTGCTGATGGTAAGAGGTCATCACGTAGCGTGTGACTAAGCAGCTATCTGTACAGTAACTTGAACTTACTCTAGTGGTGGAATAATATGAAAATAATTTTTAAGCGAAGAAATATGTGAAAATAAATGCTTGTATTTGGTTTTTTTTTTAAATCTTTTTGTTTGAATCTGGAAATTATTTTGATAGTCCAAGTATTTGGTACCTGAAGTCATGTTTTCTGTCTGCAAAGTTTAATAACAAACTAGACTAAGAGGGCAGGAGAACTGTTGATTTATTTCTTGCTCTACATTTTGAAGAAATTTCCTGAGGCTATTGTAGCTTTTATTATATGTCTATGTTGCAATAAGAACTTTTTTAAAAAATATTTTAATAGGTTAAGTAACTGTGTATGCAGCACGATATGTAATTATAATGAGGTCAGTAACCAGGTAGTGTATTTGCTTTGCAGAAAAGCAAATAGAGCACTAACGTTGTGCTGCTAATGTTGATTATGTTTGTTCCCTTATATCAAATTTATTGCAGGAAAAGGTTAGCTATGGAACCTAAATGTTAAGCAGTCATTTTTCAGTGCAGCAAAGTTAATATAGTGCCGTTAGCTTGTGATTCTCTGCAGCTTTTTTGCAATCTGTAACTATGTAGGTTTTAAACACTTAAGTTATGGTGGTTTTATGTGTACTCTTTGTTTTTTCAGGATAAACTCAAGCAGTTCCAGGAAAGGTTAGCAGAAGAGAGGCGTAATCGTTTGGAGGAACGCAAGAAACAGCGCAAAGAGGAGAGACGCATTACTTACTACAAAGAAAAGGAAGAGGAAGAGCAAAGATTACGAGAGGAACAACTGCTTAAAGGTATAATTGCGAATGTGGTTATTGTATCTTTTGTATCGTTGACCCATTCCAGACATGTAGGCAGCTAACTTCAGGTTTCCCTATTTCATAATATTAGAGGAAATCTGTTCACTTTCAGTCAATGATAAAGACTGTATGTTCATCACTATTAGTTACTGTACCTTTACATTCTGCCTGATGCATGTTCTGGATGCATATGCATGCAGCATGGAGAAGAAGGCAAAAGTTCATAGGAGGCGTAGAAAGCGAAAACAAATAAATACAAAATAGACCGATAAGCAAAGGATTGTTGTGATTCGTGCAGCTTTTTGTGATGTTGAATTGCTTTGTCTGGTAACCAGTTCCAAGGATGTAATAGAGAAGAGCTCATAGATATCCCTTTAAGGTGAATTTCTGCCTTACTTTTCACTTGGTGATTGAAGATTTTAAGTACAAGAGTTTATAACCATGCAACATTAAAAACAAATGAAAAGAAACAGAAATCCTGAATATCAAAATTCTGACATGGCTAGTTGATTGATTTATTTCTTTATTTTAACGTTTTCCAAGAAGGGCTCCTTCACCGTACTTGAGTCAGTTATATTTTAGCTGGCATATCTGTGGCCTGTACCAGGAATTAACATACAGGTATTGGAACATTTTCTTCTTCCATATCTAGCAGCAGTTGTTCCAGATGTGAGGTTAGTAGAATATCTCACGGTTTCTTTTCCTGTTGCTTTGGAGTTATGCTCTTAACATGCCCTGTAAAATGCTTGCTTGAATTTTTTTTTTTTAATGGAGTGGAAGGGGAGGGATTATTTGCAACCCTTTTTTGAGTACTATTGAAAGGGTAATATAATGATATTGGTTATATGTTTTATTTATTTTTGAAACTACAGAGCGTGAGGAGAAGGAACGCATTGAGCGAGAGAAACGTGAGCAGGAACAGCGTGAATACCAGGAACGTGTCAAAAAACTAGAAGAACTAGAGAAGAAAAAACGTCAAAGAAAAATGGAAATAGAAGAAAGAGAACGTAGGGAAGAAGAAAGGAGGGGTCTGGATGACCCATTTTCAAGGAAGGTAAATACAGATTTTTTTTTCTGTCTTTTTGACTGACTGCTCCTGTTTCTGTAGATGATTTGCAAGTAATTGCACGTTCAAGTTAAGTACTAGTGACGGCATTGTAGAATCAGTGGTAGCATAAGTGGCTGATTTAGCAGTTGCATTATTATGTCATGTATTTTCATCTCACTGTTATAATCTGGAATCTGTAGTTTAAAAATAAAATCAATCAAATTTTCTGTCTTTTTGACTGACTGCTCCTGTTTCTGTAGATGATTTGCAAGTAATTGCACGTTCAAGTTAAGTACTAGTGACGGCATTGTAGAATCAGTGGTAGCATAAGTGGCTGATTTAGCAGTTGCATTATTATGTCATGTATTTTCATCTCACTGTTATAATCTGGAATCTGTAGTTTAAAAATAAAATCAATCAAAGCAAAACAAGAAAATGGCCAAGATCTCCAAGCTGTTTGAAAACGAAAAGAATAAAGACTAAAACCAACGTTTAATAAAATTAATACAAAAAGAAGAGGAGAGCTATGTTAGAAGTAAGTGTAATGAGTGATGCCAAAGTCAGGAATTAGAGTATGTATTGAAGGAAAATCCCAGTCTAAGCATAATTCTTCTAAAACCTAAAGCTACGTTTTTATGCAATAAAATAAAACATATAAATGAGGTGTTTGCAACTTCCACTTGCAAATATAAATATTGGGAAAAATCACCCTCTCAGTACATCAGGAAACAAAGCAAAAGCAGTTATTTTCAAATTAAATGTTTAATGATTTTTAGAAATGCTGCTGCATGCTACAAACATTTTAAGCTCGCGCTTATTCAAAGCTTGTAAAAAGAGAACTATTTTTAGATTTCATCCACAATAGCCATTGCCCTTCTCTAGTGCATACTTCATTGAATAACACTGTGAAGATAAGAGGTCAGAAGTTTGCATAAATTGCTTCAAAAGTTTTTGGTTTTAGTGTTTATTTACCTGGTAAATTACCATCACCAATATGTTTCCCATGAGAGGCACTTGTTAGCCATGGGTACTTGACCTGCATGGAAAAGTTGGCTCAGGTTCTGAAAAAGATATCTGTACGACTTGAAAAATGCCATTTGCAGTTGTGTTCCCCACCCCATCCCCTTGTTGTTGGGGTCATTTCTGCAAGAACATTATCACAAACATTTAAATAGAAACTCATAGAATAAATGATGTGCGAGTTCTTGTTTGACCTATATATTTCCCCGTACTGAAATCTAAACTTCGCCAAATACAGTTTTCAAAGAGTGCTTTTAAATACCTCGTTTGATCCAACTGGATCCCTTTTTAAAGAGGTCGTCTGATTATGTGAAATCAGTTATTTTGTATTGTTTCCCTAATTTGCCTTCTGTGATGGAATTAATGAGTAAACTACTGTGTCAAAACCAGTTTAAATGGTTTATCTGTGACGTAGTAGTGGAGCAAGATATTTTTACCTTTAGTGAAAGAAATTACTGATTATTGCTTTGCCCCGCATATAAGCGACTTGTGTGAATTGCAAATAACTAAACTGTTTTTGTGTTTTTGTCTCAGGTTAAGTGCTATATAAACTCGGAACAAAATGGTCTCTGCTTTAGAGACCTTAAGTTAATCAAAGTGGTGTTTTCTAATGTGGTTAAAAAGCAGTTTTTAAAAAAAGCAAAGGGTTGTGTGACTGAATTCCTGTTGTCCTGTGCAGCAGGAAAGTAAAACTGTTAGAAAAATCTTTTTGCGTTAACAGCTTTAGCTATGACTCACTGTCATATTGTTCATGTACTTACTTGTAATGAGCTTTCTAGTGTTTTAACTTTACGTATACCCCGCCCTGTTAGTACAGTGCATGACATGTAGGGGAGCCTATTATATTTTTAGCCCTGCCAGAATCAATAACATTAATCAGTTTAGACCATATTTAACTTATGCAACCTCCTGATAGTTCAGATTCTCTACAGGCTAAGAAATGAGTTTTCGGTGCTATAGTGTGCTCTTAAATGAATAAATTATTAGTTGGAAGCCTATATTTTAAAGTATTCAGAAAATGTGCTCCTAATTTGTTTTGACATACAGGAATCTCGTTGGGGCGATAGGGAGTCTGAAAGCTCCTGGAGAAGAGGTGGTGAGACAGAATCTGAGTGGCGACGAGCACCGGTGGAAAGGTAATTATGGGTTAGTAAGCACCAGTTGTATTGGGCTCAAAACCTGTGGCTTCCCTTTTCATTGCTACTGCTAAAATTGCACTAATTTTGAACTATATTTCATGCATTTATATTTATCTTGTATTAAAAAGTTACTTTGTAAGGATCCCAAAATGAGAGAGAGATTTTATCTTGGAACTGCATTCATATAATGTTCCTGTTGTATTTAACCTAAGTACGTGAAGGCTAGCTGATGCCTTCAGCATCTGATACACGGCTAGTGCTGACGTTTGATGGGGACGGAAGTTTTTGATTAAAAAGGAAAGCAAGTAAGCAAGTTGTTTAAGTACAGAACGGAGAAGGGTGACAAATAGATTGTAGGCTTCCTGTTTGAGATTTTTCATTTAGAAAACTGAAACTAATATATAAAAATGGTAAGGTCGAAACTCAGAGTCTCAAACTATTCAAGTCCCAGAATGGCTCACAGAGCAGGAAATGTATGCCATAAACTAAAAGTTCTGAAAATGGAACAGAGAAGGAAGGATTTTTGAAGGAAGACTATTCTGAATGTACTTTGCACTTCTTTTAAAAAAGCTTGTTCACAGCTGTTCTTTTAGGGTATTTGGGTATGTTTGCTAATAATGAGGACTGCGTATACAATTGTAGAAAGTCAGTGCCTTATGATTTGTCCATCCCTCCTCCACAACAGGATGAACTGTGCCTACAATATTTCTGATGGTGCACATCTAGTTGTTCTTAAAAGCCTCTGCTGATGGAGATTCCACTCCTTGTTCCAACTGGCCTTATGTTTTATTGCTTAATTCGCCTTACAGTTAGACAGGTTTTTGTAAAGCTTAACTTCCAGTGCAGCAATTCAGATCAATTGCAATGCGCTCCGTCTCCAGTGGAAGCAAAGATCAGTTTAATTCTTTCTAGCAATTTATTTTAACATATTTGAAGAGATTCCTCTTTCCTCAAACAAAATAGTCTTTCTTAAAAGCTGTACTGCCCTTCTTGGTTGTGAAGTTCACTTTCTCATGAATTATAAAATCCAAAATTGCATGAAGCTCTCAGCAGAAGCCTTTAACTATTGAATGGAGAAGTAGCACTTTACATATCATATAAGCATATAAGCATTTAATGATTCTGTCTGTATGCTTTAATGTGATGTATTTTGTCACAACAGAATGCCACTGGTGATCCATATTCATTTTTGAATCGTGATAGCCTAGAATTCTTCTGCAAAACTGTCATTCCTCATTCAACTCTTGTAGAAATTGAGCTGAGTGACTGCTGAGGAGGGAAAAATACGTATATTTTGTATTAGTGTGTAGCTTGTTTGGTACAGCTTTTCTTCTCTTTTACTAAAATGTTTAGGGGAATCAAAATTAATACTTCTCTGGAATTTTAAGTAAAACTATTAAATGCTGTTCAATTATGTTCTTTTCACCCAACTTAGAAAATAACAGAGTAAAAATTATGTTCTGGCATAATTGTATACGAGCGGTATGATTCTTCATTCTTTAGAAGCCCTAAGTCTAACTGGAGTTTGGCCGTAAAGCGAAAGTATGTGTTGGATACAGATGTAGCCTTGCAAACCTGACTGTAACTGACAAAATAATTCTGAAATCTATTTTGGAGTCAAGTGATAAAGGCAATAATCTGGAGGATAGAACATCAGATTTGATTTGCAGTATATATCTACGTGTAAGTACAGCTATTGGATAGATGCATTAAAATGACCTCATGAATGCCAGAACAAGCGGAGAAGCTGTAAAAGTTGTCTTGCAGACATGAGTTTCTCATGGCAATGAGATTTTTATGACATATGTGCCAGATTAGTATGCAGGTCCTTACAATCATGGAACAACCAATTGTATTATACAGTTAGCCTTTGCCTGGCTTAACAGATTCCAGGTGATCAGCATATTCCAGTGTTCTCAGTCTTTTCCACACCGTGATTCCAGTTACAAGAAAAACAGACTGCAGAAAGACAAGAATCCAGCAAGGAGAATATGTTACTGACCCTCTCTCAGACAGACAGTGGTTTTGTTATGAGTTATATCTAGTATTTGCTTCATTTGCTTGATTCTTTCACTGTGCAAGACACACAGTAAGAATAAGAAACAAAAGAGGAAAATAAAGTTAATAATCTTTCTTTGGTAGGTGTAATAACTCTTTTAAAGAGGAGAAGAAAGTCAATCCCAATGTAAAAATATACAACACTACTTCTGTTTCCAAGAGGCAGGTATCAGCTTCCATCTTTATAATGTACTATTGCTTGTTCCTCTTCATTGTTGAGGAGCTAGCTTTAGGAAGATTAATTTCATGAAAGAAAGCTGGTGACAAAGCCCAGGTGTATGGTCCAAATGTGTACGTATAAATGGTCCTGTCTTGGCTGCATACAATGGGATTATGAAAATGGAGTGCAGAATGCTTTCTACTGAGTGTCTCTGAGTGACCTAACGACATAAATCTAAGCAGTATGTCCTGAGAAATGATAGAAGACTCCAGCTGTTGTTCAGTAGTGTCTGATCTTTTCAGTGTTATAAAACTAAGTTTATTTCAAAGATGAAGCGTCTTGATCGTCCCAGGGAAAATTCTCACCAGTTCTTTACTTCCCATATATATCTTAGTAAGGGGAGTCTTTGCAAGCACTGTCAGCCTGCCGGAGCCTGGTGCACCCTATTTGCAGTCAGTTAGCACAAGTAAGGAGAAGTAGTGGATTGTGTCATGAGCTTTCTAGTTTGTGCTGCGTCATCTAGTTGTGGATGTTTGGCAATACTTTCAGTGACAATCTGTTGAGCCGAAACTGTGTCAAAGCATAAAGAAGCAGGGATTACGTTAGAGGGTTGTTACGTGGGTGTAGAAAGGAGATAGTTACTTGATGGTCGTGGTTTTTTAATACAGGTTCTTTGAGACCTAGCTAGAGTTTTTCAAATTAGGCTCAGTGTAGTAGCCAAACCTATTCTCTGTTGTGTTGCAGCAGGTGGCCCACCAGGGACAACTAAGCAGCTGTGGTTTTGAAGGGTATAATAAACTGTTCAGTCTTTCCTGAAGCTGTAGAAAAGGTTACCTATCACTTTCCTGTAGCAGTAAAGCCAATTAGAGCATGTGCTTAAGAAAACTGCAAGCTCTGTAAATGTATTTGCAATCCCACATCGAGTGGATGCTTTCAGAAATTTTACCCTTGAGAGATTTGATGACATTGACCTAATATGTAAAGCTTTCTTGGATGCCAATTTCTACTGTTTGCTCATTCATTATGGTTTTGCAGAGATTGGCGTAGAGGAGAAGCAAGAGATGATGAAAGACCTTTCCGACGAGGGGATGATCTGCCCCGACGAGGGGATGATCTGCCCCGACGAGGGGATGATCTGCCCCGACGAGGTGCTGCTGAAGAAAAGGAGCGTCCTTCTTTGGAGTCAGCTGAGGACAGGCCACCTAGGCGTGAAGGGGAAGAGGACAGGCCACCTAGACGTGAAGGGGAAGAGGACAGGCCGCTCAGGCGTGGTTTGGATGAAGACAGGCCGCTCAGGCGTGGTTTGGATGAAGACAGGCCGCTCAGGCGTGGTTTGGATGATGATAGAGGGAGCTGGCGGGCTGCAGATGAAGACAGGCCACCGAGGCGCAGCTTGGATGACGACAGGGGCAGTTGGCGTGCAGCAGATGACGACAGGGGTCCCAGGCGCGGGATGGATGACGACAGGGGTCCCAGGCGCGGGATGGATGACGCAAGGGGGGCAGGGGCGCACCAAACAGGGGTCCCAGGCGCGGGATGGATGACGACAGGGGTCCCAGGCGCGGGATGGATGACGACAGGGGGCCATGGCGTAACACAGATGATGACAGGCTCTCCAGAAGAGATGATGACAGGGGTCCATGGCGTAGTGGGGATGATTCAAGACCAGGTCCTTGGAGACCATTTGGTAAACCAGGTAAATATAATAATAGTCCTACCTCCAAAGCATATGTAAACCTAGTGGATAATGGTTTTGATGTACTTGGTGCCAGAGACGGGAGAATAAACGCTCTGAAAATGTCTGGATTAATTTGGCTAATGTGTAGCCTTCTTTACATAGTGTAATGAATCCTTTTCATTTGGCTGAATTAAAAAAAACCTGAAATGCAGCAGTGTCTCTTGGTTTCCTAGAAGATATCTAGAGGTCACACAGTAACGCTGGGAAACATACTTATCTGGTGTGCAGAACCAAAATATACAAGTTTAATGACCTGATGAGAGGGAGACCTTTCTACTAGACAGGCGCATCTTAGTTTCTTTCCCTGTTTCTTCTACTTTTAAAAATATATCTGAAATTAACCACCTCCTAAGCAGGATTTCAGATAAGTCACTCAAGTGGCTGGTTTTGATCAGCTTTTTAATTTTTGTGTACAAAAATATTCCTGTTTTTACCATTTTTCTTTATTGTTTTGGGGTATACCTTTCCTGAAAGTCCTGCTTTGAGCAGGAGTTTGGACTCAAACATGAACTGTCCTATGATCCTATTCCTATATAGTTTATTTGAGGTCCTACAAAGTCTTGTCGATGGTGATTACTACAACTGTTCCTGATTCTTTTCAGAACTGTTAATGATGTTTAAATATTTGTCCTTTGTCTTTTTTGTTTAGTTTTACATATTTACATTTACCACATAAGCTACAGAAAGTAGACAGTAAATACGTAAATCTCAGTACTCGAATAGCTTTCTCCTCTGGCCTATTTAAAACAATGGCTGTATAATAGAGAAATTCCATTCTTAAGTGTCTGTAAGTTAAGATTATCACAGGACGCAGGATGTATTTTGTAAGTAGACGGTAACTGACAGTCACACTTTAAAGCAGTGCTTTAAAAAGCAGTAAGTTCTTATGAACTTGTTTGCCTAAAATTTTCTCTCTTGTAGATTTTTCAGAGGAATCTGCTGTCTAAGCTTATTTATTTCTTCCTCTATTTATTTATTTCTTCCTTTGCTTATTTTGCACAAAATCTTTGAGGAGCATGGTATTTTTCTGACTGAAATATACAGGGTATAATCAGCTCTCTGCTGAACTGTTACAAGAAGTCCTGATATATGAGGTATATGCTTCATATTAAGCAGTTTCTTGAGTTTCTGTTTCATCTGTGTGGCTCCTATTCAAATGTACGCATTTTTTGAAAAACTTGAGTAAGATCCTCAGAGTGAACAAAACTTGAAGAACAAGTTTCTGTGAGGGAAGTAAATGATTCTTTGTCTATATAGAGATCAGAATTCAGTCACAAGTTACTTTGTGTTTGTTGCTTATAGGGGGGTGGAGAGAACGAGAAAAGGCTCGTGAGGACAGCTGGGGCCCCCCTCGAGATTCCAGACCTCCAGGAGACCGTGAGTGGGATAGAGACAAAGATCGTGATGAAAATGAAAAAGACCGTGAATTTGACAGAGACCGGGATTTTGATAGAGATGATCGTTTCAGGCGTCCCAGGTTTGACTTTTCTGTTTAAATACGTGTGGAATATTTTTGTTTTAAAAAAAAAAAAAAAGAAAAGGACTACTCTGCTGTTTAAGAAAATAACCTGACGTCACCTAGTGAGAGGAACAGTGGTTGGTTGGTATGAAACTGAGCGCTTCTTTAAGGCAGTAAATGAATTGTAAAGTTTTGAGGGTTTTTTTGTTTGTTTTTAAGAAAATGTTAATTGTTTACAGAAGGAATCCCAGAATGTTTTACTCCTTTTACATATCTTTCAATCTTTTTGTTGTCAACAGAGTTTCATGTTAGGGTCTAGAAAAACACAAAGAGTTTTAGAAGTATAGCAGTGTATTAAATAGAGACCCAATGGGCCTGAAAATACCTGTGGCCTGATTTACTATCTCCTCTTACTGTAGCGGAGGTAAAATATTAACATTTAAACCTATCTAATGTTTCAAATGGCAAAAGGGATGATGCCGGCTGGAGAAGAGGACCAGCTGAGGAAACTTCTAGCTGGAGGGATTCAAGCCGTCGTGAAGAATGGGACAGAGGTGGTCGTGACATGAGAGATCGACGTATTGATGACAGAGATCCACCCCTCAGAAGGGGACCACCACTCAGATCTGACCGTGAAGAACGTATGTTTATTTCTCTGTTACTAGAAGCTTACCTTCACTGTAGGTCCTTCATGTTACTCTGACAGCAATAGGAGGTGTTGAAGTGGGAATAAGTTATATTCTCAACCAGCAAAGTAATATACAGAAGCTTTAATGTAAATAAGAACCTTTCCTTGAATCTTAACTTTTTTTTTATGGTACTCTTTACTATCATGGTAGCATTTCACATCTGCTGTAAGAATAATATTTTAAGTATGCAGTTTTCATAGTAACATTATGTTCAGGGTGAAGGAAATTCTTGTGCTTTAGCATCTTTTAGTTCTTCTTTAGTATCAAGATAGACATCCCAGAAAATCGCTTTTATCTTATTTCTTCACATTCTCAAAAATCTGAGAAAGTATTTGCAAACAGGGCCCTGTTGGTTCCACGCCATTACTGGTACTGATTAATAATCTGTTTTAATTGTGTAAATTTAATAATACTGTATTCTAAAAATACATTAACAGAAAATGCATTTAGCCTGAAATACCACATGGTCCAATTATAATGAGTTCTCATGTTCAGAATCTCATTTTGTTTTAGTGTTAGCCCTGAGTATCAGCACTCCCTGAATACAGGTGCTGTCATGCAGTGATCTCGGTGAACAAACTGGAATAGAACTTCCAGCTGGATGACAATATGATTCTCAATGTGCAGATTTTTTTTTAAATGTATCAAGAACTGATTTGTTATTTGACTGTCTATTTTAAGTCTATTTTGGTATTTGATACAGCTTTGTTCATACATAACTAGGGTAAAATTCTTAACCTCCTTTTGATGGAAATGAACAATTCTTAGTATAGGTAAAAAGTTTCTGAATACTGTTATCAGTGGACTTGTATAATCCAGTGTCATTTCTGCTTTTGATTTCAGAAGGCTTGAACAGGAATTTGCTGTGTTTTAAGACACTGAACACCAAAAAATTTTATCCACAGTTGTTTAAAGTTAGGATTTCTCTATTTTCAGTCATTTCTAATGAGATGCATTCTGTGCTTTTTATAACTATGATATTAAAGTAAAATAAGAATAAATTTTTACATCATAACTCTGTACATCAATAGAACATTCTTACTGCTGTTATTGTATTTTAAAGATGACACTGTTGAGTTGCTCACAGTGATGCTGAATCTGAAAAGAGGTTTGAGGCTGAGTTGCTGTCCACTACTTCACTGTAAAATTAAACTGTGCCTTTGGTTGTCATCATCATGTTACCTGTTGGCAAGATAGAGAATTACTGAATCAGACTCAGTATTGGGCATGTTTGCTGCAACGGTTGCAAGCTGCAGGTGAAGGATGACAAACATTTTTAATGTCCTTCTGTATTTGTAGCAAGCTCATGGCGGCGTGCTGATGATAGGAGAGAAGAACACGGAGAAGAACGTGAACCAGTGCGCCGATCTGCTCCTGCTCCTGCTGCTCCTCCAGCTTCTGCTCCCCCACCAGTATCGAAAGAACGAGAAAAAGATGGGGAGAAGGAGAAGGCTTCCTGGAAGACAGAAAAGGAGCGTGAGTCTCTTCGCCGTACTAAAAACGAGACAGATGAAGAAGGATGGACCACTGTACGACGTTAAGTGAAAAATCAAAACAGAGTTTAACCAATGTTTTAGCTTTGATTTGAATCCACAGGTTATATTTGTGCTTATAAACATTCTCAATTGGAATTCTTTAACAAATATTTTGAGGTAACATGAAAGCATGAGCCTGAATTACTTACTCATATAGATTGATCATGCACAAAACTCACAGCAGAAGTTTGGAAATTGAATACCAGTTTTTGAAATTTCAAATATTGCTTATTTCATGGATCATTTGTTGCTAAAATAAAAAGAAGCAAGCCCAACAGCTGTCTTGAGTAATACTTCTATCTTACATTAAAACAAGCTGACCTTTTTGGTTTTAGTTCTTAATTTGGAATGGGGTGTTATCATCAAAGAACATGCATTTGAAAACACTTCTGTTCACACAGTGGTGAAATTACTGAAAAGCAGAGCTGGATCAATTTCCGTGATTAGCCGAAAAAAAGATACTAAGCCGTCTCTTATTTAGGTATTTTTGAGGGCAAGTGGTTTTGAGAGACATATTTTATCATTATCTAAATTCAGTAAGTTGTTTAAATTTGAATTAAATACAATAAACATTATGAGCATTAGCTACACTGGGATATTTTCTGTAGATTTACTTGAATACATATGCCTATGAAGCCGTCTTGCAGTCATTGTTCCAGTAATGTATACTGCTGCAGTGTACAACCACAAAACCGAAAGCTTTTATGATTCAGCATTTTGGTAAGCATATTGCTATGTGTTTTCTGTTGCCAACAGCACAGCTGCTTTTTCCATTACTGGATAATTCATGCCTTTCAAGGATTTATAAATATTGTCATATTTAAAATGTGTGGTTTTGAAGAAATTGTTGATTTCTTTCCCCCAATTCTTTGTCTTCAGGGTAAATTCTTTCCCTTTCCAAAAAAGTGGTTTGTAGTAATGGCTGCGTTGACTTCAATTTTGGGGTGCGGTAACAGTGATTAACTATCTGGTCATACTGAAGCCAACACAGAACTTGCTGCTGTGTGTTTCTTCAATGATAAATAAACAACTTCTGGAATTAGCTGCTATAGTGTCTTGACTTTTTAAGAACATTCTGAAATGTACTTCAATGCAGAACAGGAATTTAATAACTGTCTCTTTGCATACCTCTTTGTGTTGTCACATTCTCTTTCAACTGGTACAGAAAGAGTTTCTTCCTGAGAAACCGTATTGAATTTTAACATGTGTGAGCAAAAGTTGTAGTGCTCCTCTTCCTGTTCTTTTCCTAACCTTCCCTAAGTTTTTCAGATCCTAGTCATTTATCAGGACAAATTCTTGCTCTCATAGTCATCTTCTCTGAGCGCCAGATGTTTGTGCCTTTGGAGCCTGTCTGCTTCTTTGCTTGCTGAGTCACAGAATTCCTTCAGAGCGCTGGTGTTTTTCTAAGCGAGGCAAATTTGTGGTTTGTGTGCCTCATGCTGTCCTGTAAAGGATGGAATCGGAGAATGGGATCTATCCAGTAACAGAGTGCTTATTCTATGTGGGATAGGGGGAGCTGCTGCTAATCAGCTACTTGTTGCTATGATCTTACAATTCACAATTCAATAATAGGATAATTCTGGTTAGAAGGGACCTCAGAAGGTCTCTGATCCAACCTTCTGGTGTGAAATTGGACCATGTTACTCAGGGCTTTAGGCAATCTGGCCTTGAAAACCTCTAAGGATGAAGACTGAACAGCCTCTCTGGGCAATGTGCTCCCATGCTTGACTGCCCTCATGGGAGAAAAAGTTTTCTCCTTCTGTCCACCTGAGCCCCTCTCTTTTCAGCTTATGCCTGTTGTCTCTCATCCTTTTGCCCAAGCACCACTGTGAAGAGCCTGGCTCCGTCTTCTTGATACCCTCCCTGTAGGTACTGGCAGGTTGCTGTTAGGTCTCCCCCAAAAGCCTTTCCTTCTGCAGGCTGAGCAAGCCCTGTTTCCCTCAGCCTCTCCTCACAGGGCAAGTGCTCCAGCACCTGACCATTGTGGGGGCTCTCTGCTGAACTTACTCCAGTTTATCGATGTCTTTTCTGTCTCGGGGAGGGGAAGGGGGGAGCCCAAAACTGGGCGTGGTATCTACATGTGGTCCAGTGAGTGCTGAAGAGAGGGGGACAATCAGTTCTCCTGCTCTGTAGGCTCTGCTGCTGTTCATACAGCCCAGGGTGCTTCTGGCCTCCTTTGCTGCCAGGGCCCGCTGCTGGCTCATGCTCAGCTTGGCGTCTGCCAGGACCCCTGGGCTTATTCAGCAGAGCTGCTCCCCAGCCAGTCAGCCCCCAGCCTGTACCATTGCAAGGGGTTCCTCCTTTGCAGTGCAGGACTTTGCGTTTCTCCAGGTTGAATGTCATCGGGTTCCCATCAGCCCACTGCTTCAGCCTGGGTAGGTCCCTCTGGATGGCAGCCCTGCCCTTGAGCGTATTGACGGATCAGCCGAGTTTGGTGTCATCCGCAAACTTGCTGAGAGTGCACTCTGTGGCTGCCTGCAGGTCACGGATAAAGATGTTGAGCAGGCCAGGTCCCAGGAGGGTCCCCTGTGGAGCCCCCTGCCAGGCTGAGTGCGATGCATTAACCAGGACCCTCTGAGCCTGAAGGATCAACCAGCTTTTTAGCCACCTGGTTGCCCACCTATCCAGACTGCAACGTCCTAACTTGGGTACAAGAATATTGTGGCAGACAGTGTTGAAAGCCTTGGTAAAGTCAAGCTAAATAACAGCCACTGCTCTCTTCTTGTCCACGAAACCAGTTATTCTGCCCTAGAAAGCAGTCAGGTTGGTCAGGCATGAGTCACCCTTGGTAAACCCCCGCTGCCTGTTTGCAGGCACCTTCTCCTTCATATGGCCAGAAACATGCTCTGAGATGACTTGCTCCATGATTTTTCCTAGGGACTGAAGACAGACTGGCTGGCCTGTAGTTTCCCAGATCATCCTTTGGGCTTTTTTTTTTTTTTTTTGAAGATTTGTGCAACATTTGCCTTTCTCCAGTTAGTGGGGGGATCTGAAAGGTGATTATACCTCCAATTATGTATTTCTAATTTTATCCAAGTGAAACATTTTATGTGGGGATAAATGTATTAATGGTCATTGCACCAATAATGGAACAGTTTTATAATGGGGATTATCTAAATTACTAAATTTTTAAAAACATTTGTGAGATTGTCACAATGCAAATTTCAAAAGATTTGAGATTGTCACATGTGTAGTATTCTCAGGACCAGGCTACTTGAGACAAGAGCTGGAAGATGTGACCTTTACAGACATGACTATTTATTTTATTGTTTCACCATTTTAGACAAAATACTAACTTCAGTGGTCAAAAATTACTTCTGACCAACTCCAACAGATAAACCTCCGCCTACTGCCATAATTATACATTAATACAATGTTTGGATACTGACTTACAGAATGTTGATGTAGTCAAATGAATTCTATAGCAAGTTGTGTTTGATTCACGTTTAACTAAACTTTAAAATCTTCAGTGAAACTGAAAAGAATAAAGCACAAATTGTAAAATACTATGTTTAGATCACAGAACTAAACAAGGCTGGTGCTGCTAGTTAAAAAGATACAAAGGTTGCTTGATTAAAGTAAACGCCTACATTGTTTTACTCCTGGAGATATCAGGTACGAATGCATTCATTTCCTTCTCTGAAAAAAGCTCTGAGACTTGCCCTCCTGACTTGTGGGAAAGGCTGATGGTTGTCAACTTGCTCAGCAGAAGTAGGGCCTACAAGAAGCCCATCAGTCTTCTTATGGGAGATGGGTGAACTCAGCAAGCCGCTTGCATATAGATGTTTTAATTGTTTCCTCTGCAATGCTTTTGTTCTGAAAGAAAATCAGTTTATGAAAACTGGCTAACTAAAGACAGGGGCAACCAGAATGAAGTGGGGTTGCTCCAACCTGGGGACAGAATCACAGTTCAAGACCAATCATAACCTTGGCTTCATGAGCCTTAATGCAGTCATGAAAGGGATCAAAGTACTTTGGAAGCTATAAATGGACTGTTGGACAGCCAGAATGTCATCATCTCAAACAGGAAAAGTACCAGAAGTTTTATTTTGCTTTAAACTAAATGTATCTTGATTTTTTTTTCTTAAAAAAAAAAAAAAAATCAGTGGGCTGCAGTTACTGGCAGGAACTGTTACATTCAAGCAAGTTTTTCTACTATAGTAAAAAGGTACTGTTAAACTGTATGAGCCTACAAAATAAAATTATTAGGTCAGTGAAACGTAAGAGTCAAAATTTACTTGCTACTCAGAAATTAGTAAAAATTATATGTAGTTTATTACAGAATTGCAGGAAAGGGACATGCAAGAGGCATAGCCAGAGCATCCACTTCCTGTTTTGACCAGACAGGACCAAAATGTGCTGAACATTGTCTGATCTTCTTAAGTAGAATTATTAACGCATTTATTTATGGTAGGATGGAGAATCTGCAAACTAGTCCAGTGCTTTTTGCCTAATCAGGATCTCCCTTGCTGTAATTTAAGCTTTGTTGGTTCTTTTATGTTTGGACACAGGGACAATTTATTCCTTTCTTCATTACATTTGAAGATTTAACAAAATCTCTCCTCACTTTTTGTCCAGATGACAGGCACATTAGCAGTAATATCTTCCTCCCTATATGACTGTTGTCAGACTATTTCCAGTACATAACTAACACATTTGGTGGGCCAGTCAGGCATATCTATAGGAAGTAGAGAGACATTTTGTGTCCATCAGTGTTCAGTCACACAGCAAAGTTGCTGCCTGAGGCACTTCAGTCCACAGTAGGATGGAGGGCAAACTATGTCACTGAAATAGGACTTTCACTAAGGACATGTACAGACTTACAGAGGGAATTCAAAAGAGCTAGAGTCAGGTATCTGACAGCAGCTTTCCATTAGAAGTACTTTCCTTTTTCATCAAAACTAGTATTGTTTGAGGGTGTTTTATAGCTACCCAATATGTGGCTCATTCCTCTGATAGGAATTACATTTTTCACAAAATACCACTAGGTAAAAGACTCACTTGCCTGTCTAGGGATATTTCCCTGTAATAAAGGAAGTGATTCTTTGAAGATGAGATATTTGGTTTAAACCAGTAATTTTCATTTGTGGTTGCCTGTAGTAAAAATGAAAATAACATCAGGCTTGCTTTTCCTAGTCATCTTCTCTGGAGCACATAACAGCTTTCATCCCAGGCTGCTTTCTGCTTAAACTATTTGTTGCTCCTAGGGTTTAGGTTACTAATGTAAATTGTTTCCCGTAATTTAAGAAACCTACATAAAACTAAAGAGCTTATTATGATAGATAGTGCTTAAAGAGTGACCAAGAACAAGCATGTTTCTGCCTACTTGGTGCCACAAAGTTTACTTCAACCCTTCCCCCACCCCTCCGCCCCAAAGTCTTTAAAGGTTCAGTCTTTACAAGATGAATCACATGGACTTGTAAAGCTTTAAAAGGCAAATCATTCAGAAGAATGCAGTACTGCTAAATGATCGTGCAAAATGACTCGTTTGAAAACCTTGCTCTTAAACTGTCTTTGCTGATCCTCATTCTTATTATCTTCTCTGGAATTTTTTTTTCTAATTGGTCTTTTGAAGTGATTACTGTATTGCCCTTAATACTTTGATCACATGCCTAATATTGTGTAGTGGCTACAGCAGGCAGCTCTCAGCCTTTCCCCCCCCAGCCTGTAAGTGGGCACGTAGAAGGAGAGAAGAGTCAGCAACCACAGGCAGGAGCAGAAGCTGGTTAAGATACAGTAGCAGTGTTCCTAAGCAGGTGGCAGGAAGGAGCAGGTGCCAAAAACAGTGCCCTTCAAGGCAGGGAGATATTTTGCTCTCCTGATGAATTCCAGGCATTGCCTTGGACAAGGGGTCTTAATTTACAGAGAGGAAGTACAGGTGCATCACAAGCACTATCAGGAGCACCTCCAATACAATCCTGTCAGTATTTCCCTTAAGAAAAGTTTTATAAGGTGTTTTCTCTAAGGATGTTTCTTTCTTGCCTTTGTCTCCATTAACAGCTATCTGGGTTAAAATATATACACCGAACTTAAATTTTACAGGAAGGTAACAAAAACACGAAAGACAATTCTTTCCATAGCATTGCATTCAAGCTTAATTCTAGTTGGTGGTGGATCCATATTTAACCTATGTGGACTAGGCATTACAGTATCTAATTAAACTTCAGCAGCTTAGAAGAGTCTGTAAGGCAAGCCCTACAGAACAAATACAATACGCAACTTTAGGATTAGGAAAATGTATCTGCTATAAGGTTAGCTGTAGCCACTACAAAGTGTTTTAATGCAAGTCCATTTACATTTGATAATTGGACCTAACACTGTCTTGGGATGAGTTTGGTGAAAATTCAAGGGAACACTTCTTAGATTCAATTTCTCCATCCTCAGAGCTGCAGTTGTGCCAGTCAATAGCAGTAACAAGTAATGAGCCTCAGGCCTTCCTTTCAAACCTACTTTGCACACCTTTTGACTCCATCCTTGACTGTCCTGCTTCCCCCTGTCCTTCTCCCATTCTCTCTGTTGAGCAGCTTCTCCAAAGGAGTCCACACAAACGTGTATAACCCCCCTTCCCTGCTTCCTTTTTTCTTTTCTGTCTGCATGCATCCCCTTCTCATTTTCCTGGGGATTCCCTAAGTGTTCTCGCATGAGTTTTCCTTCACCTCCCTTATTTGATGATAGCTTTTCAGCAGGGCAGCCCCTGCGCACCCTTCTCTATCCCAACGCTAGGTAAAGTCATCTACAGCGCAACCCTCTCTGCACTTACAACTTCCATACCTGCCTTTCAGCTCTGGAGGACTCGTTCCAACGAAACTGCAAACCAACTGCTGCTTCTTGACCTGCCATCTAGTCACAATGAAAACAATTCCTGGTCTCTTGAAAACTAAAGGCACCATGGCCCTGCTTGTTACTCAGTGCCAAGGAACTGGCACGACCTACGACTAAGAACATTTTCCTAGGTCTTCAGCTGCAATCTGACATTTTGTACATTCTTTGTAGCACTAAGGATATTTGTCAGTGACATGGGTAGATCTCTCCTACCTTACAATGACCTAAAGCCATTTTCTTCTCTCTGGCCTTGGCAAAATATAACCTTCCCTTGTTGATGTCTATCTACAGCTCTGGTAGTGACTGCTTTCTGTTTTGACCATGCCCCTTTTCCCTTCAAAGGCCTCCCATCAGCCTCTCATTATCCATCAGAATCACAAGCTGCATTAAAGCTTGTTTTCTGCCCTATCTATTGCCTTTCCTTCTGTAGCAAGGGCTCAGTTTCCACCTCTGCCCCATATTCAGATGAAGACTTTCACACTTTCTCCTCCTAGACCTTCCCTAAAGTTGGGTATCAGACACAGGAACCTGTGCCTGATACTCATTTCGCAAGATCAGAGCCAGTCACACTCACTAGTGGAACAATTCAAGCATAACCGTGGGGCCCTTAGGATGCTGTGATTTAGTGACGGAGGGCATTAATTACCAACTAAGTAACTGAATACGGGCTTGATCACAATCAGCTACCCGGTTTTAAGATCAGTGGAGGAAATCGCTCAGCTGCTTAGTTTAAGACCCAAAACGCACAGCGCTACACCATAATTAAGTACCTTGCCACTAACGGAGAAGACAGCAGCTTTTCCACGCAGTCCAGACGCTGCGGGAACAGGCTGTGCAAGAAAGCAGGGACCAGCCGGAGGGAAGCAGCGCTGCGCACCGGTCCGGAGCGGAGCAGGACAAAGCCCGGGGCCGGGCCGAGCGGTGAGGGCGGCGCGCCGCTGCCCCAAAAAGCTCCGCGCAGCCCCGGCCCCGCCGCCGCCCACCGCTTCTTCTAACACCCCCTCCCGACACGCCTCGCCATTAGATCTCGTCGTAAAACCCATTTTCTTATAAAAACCATATATATATATATATATTTATACAATAAACAAATACAGTGCATCTAAACGGCGCAATTACCATGACATAGCGTTAGGCTCCGCGCTGGGCTCCCTGAACGCCAAGCGCACAAACTAGAAGCTATCCGCTGCAAGACACCAGCCCGGGGACTCTCACACTCTAGTCTCCGCGTTTAATATATTAATGTGTTAAAGAACAAAAAGAAATCCGCTCTTAAGACAATCTTAAAAAAGGGGAAAAAAAAAAGACAAGAGCAGGAAGAGGTCTCCTGGGCGGCGGGGCCCCGCTGCGCGGCCGCTCGCCCCTCCGGCGTCCCCGGCCGCGCCTAGCGCACCTTCTTGCCCAGGGCGGTCCGGGCGTGTTTGAGCTGTTTGGCCGCCTGCATTTTGGAGAGGGGGCAGTACTTGATGGTGTGGGCATTGTCCCCGCTGGCGCCGCAGAGCGGGCAGGTGTAGCGCCGCAGCACCGGGCAGAGGACGCGCCCGTCGGGTCCCTTGAGGATGTGCGTGGTGTAGAGGGCCACGGCCTCCTTGTTGTTCCGGCAGAAGACGCAGACCTGCAGCTCGGGCTTGAGCAGGCGGGAGGCGGCCCGCGGGGGCGCCGGCAGAGAGCAAAATTTTCAGTGAG